GTTGAAGATATGCGGTGGAAGTAATAATGCTGGATCGTAACGTGGTGCATGTAGTTGTAGATAATTTTCATCATTAATGTTTGGCGTTTGAGAATTGATCCATCTGTTGAACCAAGATGCAAAAATAAGTTGTACATTATGAAAATGTTGGACATTTGATATTGAAAATAATGAAAATTCCAAAAATGGTGTCAATTCATTTACGGGGTCGCCCCAACAAAATATATGTGTATCATTTCGAAATATTTGTTGGAAAAATTTTTGAAATGAATATCGAAGATTAGATGTTATAGTCGGAAGAAATCGAGGTNGAAAATTCCAAAAATGGTGTCAATTCATTTACGGGGTCGCCCCAACAAAATATATGTGTATCATTTCGAAATATTTGTTGGAAAAATTTTTGAAATGAATATCGAAGATTAGATGTTATAGTCGGAAGAAATCGAGGTTCAACAATAACAACAGGAATTGATGCAGACGACAAAGAAATGAACGAAATTTGAATAAGAGCGGGAAGATTGGTAAATTTATCTCCTTCTGTATCAATACAAAAATAATTTGCTTGTTGAGCTTGTATTGTTAGATTATTAATTTCATTTAACGTCGTACTTTTATTAAGAAATTTAATAGAATAATTTCCTGGAAATTCATATGGATCAAATAATTCATTGTAAAGTATTTCTTTTGCATCTTTTTTACCATAAAAATCCATTTGTACCTTGTTTTTTTTTCTGTAAGATAATCTTCAGTTACATCACGAATTAGTAGCTAATAATGATAATAAATGATAATGAATTATAATTGCCAATAGATAATTAAATGTATAATCGATACTTCCAACAATTGAATCAATGTATCATAATCAAAGATAAGGTAGTGGAGTTGATTTGAAAAACTGACACGAACAACCGAAACCATTGAATGAATAAGAAAAGATAATAACGAAGTAGATAAACAACAGATTTTAATGGACAAAAAAAAGATGACCACTGTCCAACTAAAAAATAGCAAAAGATAACAAGATAAATAAATAACATAATGTAGATGACATAAGAATCAAGACAGGATATGGACAATACAAATAATGTAATCAATGATGACCATAAATCGGGCAAGACGAAGAGAGAGAAAAAATACAAAGAAACAAAAGGAAAAATAAGAATAATAAAAAAAAATATAAATGCTAATAACCAATAATGAAAAAGAAACTTATAGAAAACGATAAACAAAAAATAATCAACCACACAAAGTTAACAAGAAAAATAAAAATAACCTAATTTACGAAGTGGAAAATGATCTCAATTGAGAAACATGAACTTGATAAACATCATTAGAATCATTTTTAATCCAATATGCGGGATGTTCAGCATCAATAACTACCATTGGATCAGAATAAATTGATGATAATTTTGTTCTTGATGTAGATAATCGTTTAAGTACACGATCACCAATATTAAATTTTGGATCTACACGATGAGTATCATAGTTTGTTTTATAATATTGCTGATGTTGGATTATATTCTGTTTTGCTTGACGGTGATATAATGTTAATGTTCGACGAAAAAATTGAAAATAATCGTTTGGTTTCAAAAATTCATATTGAGCAATAGGTGGATCTGGTGGAAGGTTTGGATGGCGTCCAAATTGTAGCTGGTACGGGGAGTATTCAGTTGAAGCATGTTTTCCAGTATTGTAAGCGAAAACAGCAGATTTCAAATGAATATCCCAATCATTCATGTAAACATTTGTTACCTTTGCTAATTGACGTTCAAATGTAGCATTGAAACGTTCAATAGCACCGTTTGTCTGTGGATGATATGGAGTGGATTTGATATGATGACACCCTAATATTGTAGTGAATGCATCAACTAATTGATTATTAAAAGGCGTTCCTTGATCTGATACGATTTGACGTGGTACACCATAAATGCAAATATAATGTTCATGTAAAACTTCTGCTGTTGTTTGTGCATTCTGTTTTTCAGTTGGAATTGCAATCACCCATTTATTAAAATAATCAGTAATAGCCAGTACATATTTATTGCCTTGTGATGTTATAGGAAAAGGTCCTGAGTAATCCATACCGATCATTTGAAATGGACCACTAGGAGATTCAATTGGATGAAGAAAACCATATGATTTATGACGTGCAAAATTGAATTTTTGACATTGTAAACACGAATGAAGATAGTTTCTAATGGTATCTTTCATATTTGGCCACCAATAACGGTCTTTCAAATTGTTATACGTTCGACGAAAACCAAAATGACCAGCCCATGATGAAGCATGATAAACTTTCACCACTTGAAAAACTAATGATAATGGTATATAAATTAGTTTGAGATTCGCAGTACCACGTTTAATTATTTTATAAAGAATATCGCCCTTCAATTCAAATGAACACTTGAGTGATTCTTGTTGTAATTTATGAATTTGTTCTTGATAAAATGAATCTTGTTTTTGAGCATCAGCAATCTTGGTAACATCAAACACATGACCAGCCACTCGTGGCGGCTGATCATCCACTACCAAAGATTGATCTGCTACAGATTCAACAATAACAGTATCTGGAATAGTTAATTGAGCTTTTGCTTGAGCTCTTGTAATTACTGCACCACAATGTTGAATACCAGGAACTACACCAAAATCTTCTTCAATAAAATCATCGTCATCTTCGACTTGACGAGGATATCTAGAAAGATAATCAGCCATACAATTACATTTACCTGATAAATAATGAATTTGTTTGATGTTGTATTGTTATAAAATCAGTGATATACGATCAACACGACGATTATTTGAGGGTCTCAACTGCATATCACGTAATGGACAATGATCTGTATATACAGTAAATTCACGTCCGAATAAATATAATTTCATGCGTAAAACACAATAATAAATGGCTAATGGCTCTTTCTCAATCGTAGGCCATTTACGCTGAGGTTTTGGTAACATTTGTGAATGGAAATAAATATTTTTCCTTTGGCCGTTGTCATCTTCCTGAAACAATACACCACCAATACAATTATCCGAAGCATCAATTTCTAATGTTAAAGATAATTTATCATCAGGATAAGTAAGAAATAATGGGTCAGTGATAAGAGCTTCTTTTAATTTATCGAAAGCTTCACGTTGATCTTGATCCCAATGAAACTTGTGTTTATTTGCTTTGGTTAAATTTGTAACTGCTGATATAGGTACAGCTATATGAGCATAATTCTTGATAAACTTCCTATACCATCCAATTGATCCAATAAATGCATTTGCTTGATGTAATGAGATAGGTTGTGGAAGAGATAACATTTTTTCGATGCGTTCTTGAAGTGGACGTACACCATCATTACTAATTGTATGACCTAAATAATCAATGCTGGTACGAAATATTTCACATTTTGGTGGATTAAGTTGAAATTTGTGTTTATTGAGAATAGCCAAAAATTGATTGACGTGTTGTAAATGTTGATCAAAATTGTCCGAGTAAATTAAAATATCATCTAAATAAACGATACTAAATTTTTTACATGGAAGTAACAAACCTGACATAATACGTTGAAACGATGGTGAACTATTTTTAAGTCCTTGGGCCAAAACGTTGAATTCAAACAAACCATGAGTTGTGATAAATGCTGTTTTGTGTTTATCATCTTCTTTAATTGGAATTTGGAAATAGCCCGACTTGAGATCTAATTTTGAATAATAACGACGACCACCAACCATTTGAATTGCTTGTTCAAGATTAGGTAAAGGATAATTATCTTGAACGGTGATATTGTTGAGTTTTCGATAATCGACAATAAATCTATAACTGCCGTCGCGTTTCTTGATCAACAAAATTGGAGCTGAATATTGAGAAAAAGATGGCCGAATCTGTTGATTTTTCAACATTTGTTGAAGAATATCGAAAGTAGCATTTTGCTTTTCGATGGTTTGCGGGTAAGGTCGAGATGTTGTTGGAGGTTTATTTTCCGTGCAGATGACATGTGGTGTATCTGTTTCGGCAATGGTTATTGTTGTTGTATCAAATAAACGATGGTGTTTTGTAAATATTTGCCATGCTTCAGCTAAATCTTGTTGATCATCAAGATGTGTTAGAAGAGAACGGATGTTGGTTTCACTTGTTGATGTTAATGACTTGGATTGGTCTTCATCGATGGAAAACCTTGTTTGAGGATCAAAGATTGTAGATACAAATTCAGTGTCACAATATGGCGTAATTTCACCAACAATTTCTTGATACAACAGCTGTTGATTTTCCATGGAAGAATTGCAAATAAAAATAGTTGCTATATGATCTACCACTGGAACTATTACATGAGGAGTTACTAACCCTTAACTTTTTAATGCATCAGCAGGTGAAAATAACATAAGACCAGAAGAAATATGAGAAATAATTTGTATTGGTTTTTCTTGATTTGGATGAAAATACGTGAATGCATTTGCTCGACCAGGTACATTAATAGTCTTCATTGTATTTTCCATTGGAAGATCAACAATAATATCTTGAATATGGATTTGAACTTGTTTTTCTTTGTTGTTGAGATTTACATAATATTTATTGATGTAATCCATTCCTAATAAACAATCGACACATAATGTATCAACAACGCCAACAATAATACTAGTACATGATTTCTCAAATTCGATAAATATTTCTGGTGTACCGAGAATATAAAATGTTGAACTGCCATCAGCCATTAAATATGATTGTTGTTTAAATTGTATATTAACATGATTTGTTTGTTCGAGAATAGATTTTTTGATAAAAGATTTAGCTGAACCAGTATCAAACATAATTTTTGTAATAACTTGATTAACTTTTGCAAGGATGAAAATTGGTGATGGATTTAATAAACGAGTAGGAGCATCACCATCAATCGATGATCCTACTGTTGAAAATGTGGACATTGACTAATAAAATGATCTGTACCATCACATCTATAACATCGATATGGTGGTTTTGGTGTACGATTATTTTGACGATGTTGATTTGATAAATTGTGCCGTGTTATTGTTGTCTTGTTGTTAGTTTGTGATGTACGTGCATAATTTGCTGGTGAATTTGAAGATCGAGCAGATGTAGTAATTAAATTTGGTTGTTGTTGTGAAGATTGTTCCATCATTCCTTGCTGTTCATCAAGGGATCTTAATTCTTCAATTTTTTGTGCATATTTTAAAAATTCTTCCGTTGTTGTTGGATTTTTTAGAAGAATATCAAATCGTAATGAGGACTTTAAACCATCTTTCAAGTATTGAAGTTTAGATGATTCATCCATTAATGGATTTGCTTCTTTACATAATTTCATAAGTTCAAAATAATACTGTCGTACATCTTGATGTAAACTTTGTTGATATTGACGTGAACGATTAAAAGCAATATCAGCTTTACTAGAAGATTCAAATGTATCAAGTAATTTCTGTACAAATAATGACCACGATGGAACAAAATGATAATTATCAAAAAACCAATCTTTAGCATCAGCGTCTAAACAGGACGGGATATAGAACAATTTTTCCGTGTCTGACAATTTTAATAAATGCATTGCTTGATTCTCTTCACGTAACCATTTTGAAACATTTTGTTTTGAACGACCTGTAAATTTTGGTAATTTTTCGATATGACTTAATAATAATTGACTGCGTAATGAACCAAATACATCGTCTTGATTTAAATTGGACATTTGTACGTTATTATTATTTGTTGTAATTTTTATCTCTTCATTTCTTTTGGTAGAAAACCGTTG